CAAGTCTATGAACTGTGCTGGTTGCAAATAGATGTATTTTTCTTTGGGTGCCAAGGCATGGCTTACTTTTTGGCCATGAGACTCTTTGTTTCTCTACAATGTGCTTTGGTTCTGCAGTAGCACTGTCATGGATGCCATCAGTTCCTGACACTTTCTCTTATCAGAGGTCCATGTAGCACAGGTCTGATTTTATCCAGCTGCTGGTGCTGAGACCTGTTTGAGTTTTTCTAGGAGTGGTAAAGGTCTAGAAATATTTATTCATCCTGCTCATCATCTTCTCCTGGAGGCAGTTCTTCAGGACAGGCTCTCACAGGATTTCTAGATGTCTGCTCTACTCATAGACAAGCGCTCGGGTTCACCTGGGGATTGAGAGTTAGGCAGAGTGTAAAGCGAAATCAAGCTCAGACCACTCATCATTGGAATACTGGGAGTGGGCAATATTCAGACCACGGGACTGAGTTAGACTAGGATTTTTGGCTGATCCTGAGCCCACAACACAAGATGCTAGGACTCCAGGGAGAGTAAAGTTGTTGTGCATACTAGAAGTTGCAGTAAAGTTAATGAGTTCTGCATGAGTTTTTGTGATGAGTCAGTCTAGCCCGGGTAGTGGTCAGGCCAGAAGACCACGCAGAGCTGGGAGAATGATCTATGTCTTTTTCTCTCAAGGGTTACATCAAGTCACCCTGCAAAACCATGACAGGAACTGAGACCAACCCATTGCAATAAATGAGGGTGGGAATACAGGGCACAAAACCAGACCGAGCAAAACTGGAGCCTTCTGGTGTGGAGGGATTTCCTCCCAGTGCTCTTGCATGGTGATGGTTTTCATAGGAGACTTTGGCAGCTGCTTGTCCTGCTGTGTCATAGAGAGTATTTTCCCACTTGTCTGTCTGAAGGATCTTTAGCATACAGCACTTCAGTGTCCAATTTCTCTGCAGTGGAAAACAGCCTCCATCTCAGCAGGTGTCTCAACGCTGTTTACAGGACACCTGTCAGCTCTTTTGGCTCCCCATCCCCTCTGCCTCCTAATTATAAAATTGTGAATTGCTGCAGCTATGGGCTTTTTTTTTTTTTTTTTGCTTTTTTTTTTTTCCTTGTGCACAAAATGTCAAATTGCAGAAATTAAAAATGTAAATGATGGCGTCTAATTAACCAGTTGACAGTAGAGCACAGCTGCGAGTGACAGTGACTGATTACCTTCCGCAAACCTTGTCCTCCAAGACCTGCCTTACCCGGGGGATGAAGGACATCAAAAATAGCAACTTCATTAAAGAGACATTGCTCTGCTGATGAAGTCTGATGGGCAATAGTTCTGGGGGATCCATATCCCCGGTCCTCTTGAGCTCAAGGGGAATGGTGTTGATTCTTAAGGAAAGCAAATTTTCCCCAGTCAGAGTGTGAATGGGAGCGTTGGAACATGTTGCCACAAATTGGCATCAGGCCAGCTTAAAATCTGGGGCAAAATGGAGATGCTGAGCAGCAGAGGAGTTACTGGAATAGACTGGATTCAGTGGGGGAAGCAGATGATGTGAACCGTGGATGCAGATGTACTGTTGTGAATGGTGAAAGGAAGCATGCAAGGCCTTTTTTTTTCCGTGGGGGTGAAAGCCTGAGCCCTCAGTGGGAAACAAGATCAGTGGGACTTCTCTGTGGGATTAGAGGCAGGTCTCACAGCCCTTGGAGGCCTGGTAAAGGAATCGATCATCAATCAAGAAGTAGGTACTGCCTACTTCTTTGATGACATGGAGAAAGTTTATAGGATGTTTTTTGAGACTTCTGTCTCAGAATAACTTTGAGTAAATACAACACGAGTCTAGTATTCAGGAATAGTCCTTCAGTAATTTCCAATTTGATAAGTCATCTCCCTTGCTGTAAAAGAAGACCATGACCAGGTATATCATTGTTACACCAGAAAAACCTAAGAGTGACCAAGTGTGTTCTTTGTCCTTATTGTCAGTGGCTTTCATCTCTTCACTCTCTACTCTTTCTCCTCTCAAGAAACACCTGTATTTCTCCCTCTCAGGTACTATTCTGACATCGCCAAAATGCCAGCAATCAGTGACCAGGACATGAATGCATACTTGGCTGAGCAGTCTCGCATGCATATGAATGAGTTCAACACTATGAGTGCACTCTCCGAGATATACTCCTACGTTGGCAAGTACAGCGAGGAGGTAAGAGCCTTGGAAGGGAAGACCAGTTCTGCAGGACCATGGGTTAGCCCAACCATTCCTAGGACCCAGCATGTGTCACAGATACTTATCTTCATCCTGGTTACAAGGATGATGGATTTAAGGAATGAAAAACAAGGAGAGGATAGTCTGGGTCTGGAAAAGAAAGATCTGGGATTATTGATCTCTCTAGTACTCTTCCATCTGGATCTCTGTTATTTTTGTCTCCAGTTGTTGGTCAATCAGTTTTAGCTGGCTTGCAGTAGTTGATGGCCAAATGTTAGCCCTACATGTGCTCTGCATGACATGTGGCCAAAAGTTGTTTAAGCATATGTGTCTGGTGACATTTCTGATACCCTAAAAGAACCAAGAATGGTCCAGCAAGCCTGACACATGACCAGCATGGTTCTAGGTGTTGAAAACTGGGTGAGTTCCCTTAGGCTATCTCAAGTGGCATGTCAAGGTGATGAATAAAGATACTAACTAACTGATCTCCAAGATAAAAATCCATTTGATTGGTTGCAATCTAGAGGTCTGCATTTAGTCAGATCAACCCCAAACTGCCTGCCTAGTTCCCTGATAGCTGACTGATCTGCTTTGCATGATCTAAGCTAAGCTTGGGACCTCCTTTAGAGAAAGTTAACCCACATCTGCTGCTACAAGATGCTGGAATAAATCCTTTTAGGCAAAGAAAATAAAATCCCTATCACTTCTTTCTCTCTCCTTTTCCAGATTCTTGGAGCCCTTGATCAAGATGACCAGGCTGGGAAACAGAAACTTGCCTACAAACTTGAACAAGTCATAACCCTCATGAGCATAGACAGCTGAGAACTGTCCTGCCAGGGACGCCCTGGGAGGGATAAACCAAGTCGTGCCTCACTCAAGATCATCATCTTTACCAAGTGCAAGTTTGGATCGGCTGTAAGCAGAGTCACCTGAACAGCACTCCTCTCTTTCTCTCATTTCTTTCTCTTTCAAACCTATGGACAAAGCGACAAAGCCCCAGGGGTTCAAAAAAATTACTACAGAGGAATCTTGGCTCTGGGGACATCAAGACATTCGGGTGGAGCTCTACTTTTCACAGCTTCCCCTCTGCCTTTGCCCTAGAGAAAAACTATTACATAAAATAACCAACCCACAAGCTCTCCCTCAACATCACATCATCACTCTGCAGATGGGAAATTGGGAGGTAACTTCTGTCATGCTGCTTTAACTGCCTTCCAAGGGCTGTAGCCTCTGGAGTGGACATGGAAATGAACTCAGTATTACTAAAAGTCTCCCCAAGGGGAAGGCAGCCTGCCTGCAGGGATCCTGGAGAGCAGGAGCAAATCGAGATCCTCTCCTGCAGAGCCATTACAACTCTATCTCTTGATAGTGACCCACTGGGAGAGGAATCCCAAGGCTCCCCAAAAAAAGGTCACAGCTCCGTCCAGATCGGGATCATTGTGGCTCTTATCTGCCTGGGCAAACAGCTCTCTTGGGGCAGGGGAAGGGTCAAGAGGGGAGGAGTAGACCGATGCTCCCCTACCCATGTGTTTCATATGGTTATTCTTATTTTTCAAAGAGACCTGTGTCCCCCTCCGTCTTTCCCATTGTGTCCTGTTGGTCATAGCACTGCAGCAAAAATGTTCTCTCTGCTCAGTGGCATCCCGTCGATGGTGGTTCTGTTCCTTCTGGCAATGGACAGCACAGTGTCTCCCTCGTTCCCACCTCAGCTTGGAAAGCAAGAGCCACAAGTCTCATTTTGTTCCAGGCTAGGAGCTTGGCCTCAAAAAACAACCAGAGGTATTTTTTTAAACAGCTGTTAGTTCTTTCCGTTTTGTTTCTTCAACTGGAACAAAGCTATTGTTTTCTCATGTTGGAATATCAGAAGGATACTGAAGGGCTTGCCATGAAGTAAGATGGTGCATAGGACTGATGGTAAAACCTTCCTTCAAAGCCACTCCTAAGAGGAAATGTCACCACACATTTTGGAAGGAAATGTTGAAGGAAATCCAAATGAAATACTGCAAAATATTCTTCTACCTAGATACTCCCATCCGAACTGCATGTCTTCTGGAGGTCTCTGAATGGCTGTAAGCTTATCTGCCTTTTGGTGCCAACGCTTGGCCTCTCCTCTTACCCATTTCTGGAACTAACACGCCTTGATGAAGGCACAGTTGCTGCGTGGCAAGGATTTGCACTTTCTTTGCACTTCCTATCCCTTCAGAGATCACTGTCACCACAGGACAATTGTGGGTGATTACCCTGTCCTATCCTCTGCTCAGCTTCTCCAGAACAACATCTCAACCTGTTTCATAGCCAATCAAAGAGGAGTAAGCTCCTAGGTCTCTTCTGCATTTGGCTATTTTGTTCATACAGTTGCCAGCCTGGATAACACTGTGGTTCAGCTTAGTGGGAAACCCTCAGGGTCTGGAGAACCTTGCATCTTGTGCACCATGGAGGCAAGAGATGAGTCTGCATTAATCTCATCAGAAATGAACAGAGCTCACTAGCAACTGGAAGAGTGGCTTGATGCCATGGAGAATCAACCCACATCCATCTCACACCATCTTCAGAGTTACAGCCTGGATCTATTTTGCACCTGGAGGGAGGAAGGGGTAAAGACAGGGTGTGTGAATTGATTACAGAATGAGTGCATTTGATTTTATTCATGTCTTTTGCTATAAAACTAGAACCTCTTCAGAATGACGAATCATGAGTGCATCTAATGGGGGATGTGGTGCAAACAGGAGTCAGTCAGCAAGTGGGTTTTGTTCAGCCAAGCAGATACACGTGTAGGCAAGCCCTTCTAAAACCATTTAAAGAACAGCAGTCCAAAACTGGATATGTCTGTGGGGAGAATATCACAAGATTCATATTGAAACAGCAAACTTAGGGACACGTCTTGGTTTTAAAACCCCAGACATTTCTCTCTTGATTCTAATTATTATTATTTTGTGTGTGCGTGTGTGTGTGTATCTGTGTGCGTGTGCCTGTTATTTCCTTTTTAATTTTGCTTGCTTTCTGTTTGATTGCTGAGCTGATGGACTCATCATGCACCTTATGGACATCTCAGCATTTTTAAGAGGCCTGTGCATTGGGGATGATGTGGGTTTGGTTGGTTCTGCCATGGTTTTGTTGATCCATTTAGTAACGTCGGCGCATGTTCCAGATTCATTGATTATGGCTGTGAAAGTGGGGTGGAAGTCCCACCAGAGCCAGCAGTAAGAAAAATACAACAACAACACAAACACAATATTTTTTATAAGTACATAAAAAAATTGCTTTTTTTTTTTTAATAAAAAGGAAGAAACCAAAGGTTTTGACAAACAAAGTGCCACAAAAGATAAATATGGACCCTATTGTCATGCCTTGTACTCACATTTGGATAGTAGGAGTCTAAGGAAAAATAGCTGGCTTGGAGGGAAGTGGTTATGAGTGATGGGCTGTACTGCCTGGACATGCGCACATGAAAGGAAGAAGAAGCTGGATTTTTTTTTAAAAAATATGTATATCAAAGCAAACTGGTGCAATGCTGCACTGTTACTGAAGTCAGAGGAACACCACAGGGGAAATTTGAGACACACCCTGAGGGGTTTTTTTAATGTTTTCAGGGCTGTGTTTTTCATTTATTATGGTTGTTTTCCATTATCATCATTTTATTTCTTCTTGCTGGTACGGAGTTTTTCATCTATAATATATATATATACATATTTCAAGAAAAACTTGAACACCTCAGAGACACTGAGAATGAAACACTTAGGGGAAATGTGAAGCGCCATGAGATCAGTGTCTTAACCCTTCCCAAGTTCCTGTTTCAACATTTCTGTTTCCTCTCCATCCTCTTCTTTTCCCCAACCCCACAATTTGAAGGAAAATCTGTCTTTTGCTTCTCTTTCATCTCCTCCTTATTTTTCATTTTGTTTTTCTTTATTTGGTGTTTGAACTGGTTTTGATTTTCGCTTGGAAACTGTGCTGGAATTGAGATGTAAATGTGTGGGTTTCCTCCTCTGTCCCCTTCAGTGCCCTCCCCATTTCCAACCACTGTCCCAGCATCCCCCAGTCTATGACAGGTCTCAGCGTCTTTCTTCCCAGCCTCACCTGTTGAGCTAACTATTTTCTAAGTGCATGTAAAATATGACTAAAAACAAAGACACAAGCAGAAGAATGAGCCCTACTATAACACGAATGCATTCTTTTCCTCTTCCTTTGATTTGTTTTCCCCCACCTCCCTTTCCACACTTGACCAAAAAATGCCCAACAGGTGGTATTCCACACTGTTTTTCAAGTCATATGGAGAGAACTGGAGCCAAAGTCCCTAGAAGTTAATGGGCAGGTTCTTAATATCCACAGTGTGCCAGATGATAGTCATGGATATTTCTCAAACACTGCAATCAAGACAATGAATGCTGACATATGCATCACCATCAGAAATGGAGAAAGGGAACTCATGAAGACTCTCTTTGGCCTTACTGAGAGAGCTAAGATTATTTCTTCACTGCAGAGTTTGCTCTGGGACTTTGCGCCTGGGTTAGAGGAACAAAAGGTGAACAGTCCCTCTGCAAACTCCTCCTGTCCTCCCTGTGAGTGTACTCACCTATGAATGACACAGTAATCTCAGACATAATCCATCATGTCATGTGCTTTTGCAGACTGAGCCTTCCAGTAAACACTGTTGTGGAAAAAGTTACATGTTATCTGGAAGAAAGTGTTAGAGGTTATTAGCACTTGAACAGACAACACAGGAGAAGTACCAAAAAGGAGAAATACAGCCACCCAAGGGCACCTTCCTCTCTCAACATGCCCTAGTCCTTCTCTTCCCCACTCTTCATCTTGTCCTGAATATATCTGAAGGTTTGGTCCAATCCAGCATACACCAGCCTTGCTCTATTAGGTGAGAGGGTTATGCCAATTTTCTCGTCTATAGTTTTACCACTGCAGTTGTCTTATCATATTTTTTTGACACTGGAGACCATTAAAAAATTGTTATTACATGAGGAAGATTTACCAGTAGAGTTTTGGTTGATGTTTGCTTTCATTGAAAAGTGGTTACCCAAGTTTCCAGATCTTGTGCATTAGCCCATAGGAAGGTGTTTACCATGAAGGGAAAAAAATCACATATTTGTCATCATTATTTTTAATAATGGTATTGAAAAGTGACAGATGGAGGTTTAAGAGTCCTGTGACCAGTCTCACTCTTGAGTCAGCCAGCACAAAGACTACAGATCCCTTCCACATTTCCTAAAGTCTGGGATTCCTGTGATGTAACAACTCAAGCACAAAACAGCTAATATCAAGAGGAAATTTTTTTTAAAAGTAAGTCAAAACACAAAATGTAAATCTATCCTCCCCAAGACTTTAGTGAAATGCTTTGGAAAGAGATACTGTTATGTGGAAGACTCTTCCAAAGGAAGATTGGAAACCTGAAAGGACTGAGCCCCAGGGGTCCTCTTAGTGAGACATACATTTGTGTCCCCACAAAAGACCCTCAAGTCCAAGGAACATCTTGTACCAAAAAAAACCCCAAAACTTCTGGGCTGTTGGGGATGACCAGGATTACTCTCCCATATCACCAAGACATCAGTAAAATAAGTCATGCTTCACCCTCCCCAACAGCCTGAAGAATAATTACTCATGAAGCAGATTTATCTGATAGTGTGGAGATATTGCTTGGCGAGGTAAAAAGAATGAGAGAGGAAGAAAACTGGTCCTGTTTCCCAAACTCCTGAGGCAGGCTCTAGTGTTTAAAAGGTTTGCTTCTCCATAGAAATTTGTTGCTTTCTGTGGTGGCCATTGCTGATGTGGGAAGGTGCTGTGACCAGATAAAAACTTTGCTGGAACCCCAT